GATACCTCACTCATTTATCTGATATATTGCCCAAGGCTGAAAAAATGAAATTCTATTCCACAATACTACAACACAAAACACCTCCAAAAACAGAGCTGAATCAACACATCTCTGACAGACAGCTTAAAATCTATTGAATGTGATTGCTGCACGCTGCTGCAGGGAGATTCCAAAAGTGGAAGCATGCCTCTACTGTAAGACAAGGAGAATGTGGACATCTGACAGAGTTAGAGATTTGTACTTGTGGAGCAAGTTTATCTTCTTTAGTATGTTTAATCTGTGAGATAATTTCATGTACTCTCCCATAGACACAATATTCATTAAAAAAAATAAAATAAAAAATAATGAGAACAAATCTGTTCAGCTTCATCTAATGAATGAATACACACAAGAATTTAGCCTCTGCTCATCACAGTAGGTGAGATATTCATCAAAATAAAAGCTGCTACACTTTGCTTCTCACATGGCCGTGGTATTGGTGCCATTTTTAAATCTATGAAACACCAAATTTAATTTTGTTAGCATGTTTAATATTTGAGGTATTCTCTCTCAATCTTTGTCACCTGAAAGCCACAACCCAAGAACTGCTAACAATATAGTGTTCGGTTACTTAATGATTTGCATCCACCAGTATAGCTACTAGCATGAACATAGGTATACCTGACTTATAAGGGCTCTTCATGTAGGCTACATTCATATTAGCTCATCACTACTTCATTTAATTAAATATGGTGGTCTTGTTATTAATTAAATGCTACAAATATTTAACATTTCAAACATCAATTATTGATTTACACAGAATTCAGGCTGTACAAGTCAAAGTAGTAAAAGTATCTGTTCCCACTTAATTCACAAACATCAATCTCATATATTGGGAAAAAAATTTGATTGGCTGATTGCGATTGACTGCAATCAACCAATGACATACACTGTCTTCCTAAAACCTTCAATGATAGTGAATTAAACCTGAAATAACTTAAGGTATTAATATCTACACAGTTTAAAAAGGGAGAAAGAGGTTCCAACTTTCATAAAGTGATTATCTGTAATCAACCAACCAATCAGTGAGCTACAGGTTTCTGTGTATTTTTGTTCACCTTTGGTTGTGTTGATGTTAGTGTAAATTTCTGGCTTAATCATTGACTGACTGTCTGTCTTGACTGTTAATTTATTGTTATTGCGCAGTGACAATGACGATGAAGACAAAGTCAAAATGGCTGCAGTAAAAAAAGCCAATGACAGACGTGTTGCTGTAAGACGTTGGTACAGTGAGAGACAGATGCCCAGGATATTGAGGCTGTGTTTCCGAGTGTGTGTGTGTGTGTTGTATGTAGGTTATAAACAATGGTCTGAATATGCTTTAACTGTTGGTCCCAACAGTGCTGTGACATGACTGGTGACACTGACACATAACACCCTGCACCATCTAACTTTGTTCATATTTCACATAATTTCTAGGTAATTTACACCCCTCTAGAATGCATACTGGGATTTATATGCAAAAGGTGTGTGTGTGTGTGTGTGTGTGTGTGTGTGTGTGTGTGTGTGTGTGTGTGTGTGTGTGTGTGTGTGTGTCTTAATATATGAATGAGGTTTGAATTTCCTCAGTGAAAAGAGAGGGTGGTCTCAAGTGTTAGACAGTGTTGGACTGAGATCAGCTGAGTGTGTCTGCGTCACCTTCACCTACATGAGTGTTATTAGGAGCTCTGCCTTGAACAGGGTCAGAACTCAACACTCTGTGACCTAAAAGGGGGACTGATGAAGAAATGGCACTAACTGCTGAGCTACTCAGCAACTCGCAACATGGCTCAGCAAAAGCACATTCTGTTGAGGAGAAACTGATTGACCTAAAAAGAAAGTTTCTAGCCCCAAGGTGGCAGCAGGAGAAACTTGAGAAGAGAATATATCATGTGTCTACACAGTGTTTGAAGGAAGAGAGAATCTAAGAGTTAGAAAGGGGAGAGTGATTAGACACAGGCTGGATATTGTACTGCAGTGAGTTAGAACTTGCCTGTGCTTTCCTTAACAATTAATCTTTAGATCTCAAAAAACTAGAACTCCTCGAGGATGTGTGCTGACATTTTGAGAGCAAGATGACTCGTGGAAACATTAAGGTATGACATGAGCTTGAAGAATTAAAAGTGTGGGACAGAGATGTTTCAAATTTTTGTCGTGGTCTAAAAAAAACATTCCTGTTTTATCACATGACACACCAACAAGGTCTGACAACTGCAGCAAGGACTTTGGATTTGAATTTCTCCAAAAAGGTATCACAAGGCAACTTTGAAAATGTGAAGTCTTGTGAATGTTTTAAAGTAGGATCTTTAGGCCCTCATATATTCAGCAGCTGAGCAGTTTAATTTCAAAGTTACAAAGGTTTCAACAGAGCTGGATCAAATAAAAAGTAATTATGTAATCTGATTTTCAACAATTCATATAAAATTAAAGAACTAATCACACAATTAAGAGCGATTGTGATACCATCATAGCAACAATAATGGCAGAAATGCAAAAGAACAATGAGTCAAGATACAAACTACACTTACTAAGAATGGCCGAACATAACATATCACTGCTGTCCCGGCACTCGCACAATAATAAAGAGCACAAAGAACAACAGTGTGATTGTTTAACACACATAAAGGAAACTTTACAGAATATACAAAGTGCTTTTGTTATGGACAATTATATTAGTTACATCGATTACATTTTCAGCAAATTATTGTAAAATATCTAAATATTTTAACAGATGAGGTTGGTAAAAATGTTTTTACTTCAAATCACTGTCATTAACTTTGGCTCAAGCAGTTCCAGTGCAAACACTGTTAACAGCGCTATCAGCCAGATACTAAAACATTGCCAGACATAACTAACTAGCAGCTTGGCATTACCATAACAGGTCAACTATGCAGCTGTTATGAATAAATATTACACAACATTTAAATGTCATGATTGCATTTAAATACAGAATAATGTCAAATATGGATATAATATTATAAAGAATACAACATGCAACGGAAACAAACATAGGTTTGTATGCTTGATACAATCATCTTGTTAAATATGTGACTACAGACACAGGCCTGCATATAGGCTGTAACTAATGTTTTTGGTTAATCTGATGATTGGTTTCTCAAATAATCAATTAATTGTTTGGTTTACAAATTTTAAGAAAGTAGAAAAATAAAATACCCATTATTTTCCCCCCAAGCTCAAGGTGGATGTGACTCCTGTCATTTTATAAACACTCTCAGGATGAGACGACCTGGTGTATCTGCTGTTAAGACTGATGAGCAAGAAGACACTTAATAGCAATTGTACTTCTTACACTGTTGGACTGAGCCAAGTGCTCTGTGTGAAGTTTACAAGCAAGGCGGGCTATGCCTCTTGGACATCTCACCCGAGCAAGGTTTGATAAATTTACTTTCCTGTTAAAAGTTCTAAAAAGGAAGTCTTGTCTGTATCACACTGTTTACAACAAAGATAGCTCAGAAATTCCTGCTTTTGTTCAGGACTATTTCTCTAAAATTCATTGTAAATTCAGCAGGTGAAAGCTCCTCTGTTTTGCCCTAAATTGGGAGGGGACATTTATTTTGCCTCCATAACGGTTTCAGGTGGACGTTAGTGCAGGTGGAACAACTGAGAACAAAGGCTTTTTGTTTGACTTGGTCTTGTGCTGATGCAGGTGGAGTGGAAGGACACTGCCCTTGTGTCCTTCAGTATCCTGTCCTGATTACGGAACATTTTTTAGCTGCTAGTGCTGTACAACTTTTGTCTCTCAAAGTTAATCAAAATTTAAAGAGGTGGAGGACCAATATAAATTTGCTCACGTGTCACAAAGTTCAGTACAACAACTCAACTCACAAGTTGTAGTTGCAGGCATAAAATGGGAGTTGGGCCATGTATTGCATTTCATTATTTTATTCTACGCATATCTTGGCATTTTGTTCTGTATTTTTACTGAAACTAGCCAAACCGGTGAAACACTTCTTCCTCTCTCTCTCTCTCTCCCTCTCTTTCTCACACACACACACCCCCTCTGCCTAAACACATCAATTACTCATTCTCGAAACCAGACCGTTGACTCAAATGGCTTACTAACATACCTGCCGAGGAGACACACCTTGCTGAAGTTAGCTAGCGTTAGACGTTTCCGTAATTATGCAACACTACTCTCTCACTCACACACACGGCTACACGCTGAGGTTAGCAAGAAAAGCGACGGTTTTTTCGGTTCCCAGGTTGAATCACAAATCAATTTCTTGCTAATTTTCTGTTTTGGGCTCCTGTCTCATTGCTAAACGAACGGCTTTAAGCTGCAACCACTATGTCCAGGTGTGCGCTAACGCCCATTTAAGCTAGTTATTTTTCGCCTGGATGCATTGTTTACGGTAGGTTTACACTTAACAACACCCTAGCCAACCAGATTTCATTAAAGCATCCTCACTAATCTCCGTACAAAATACCGTTGATTTAATGTTGATGTTTTTATACACAAACTCACCTATTTCATAGAACCTGACTGGTAGTGTTGGAAATATCCAAACTATTCAACCACAATACAAACAATAGAACATAAATGAATAGTGTAAGTGATACATTTATTAAAAAGGTAACTCAAAGTAAGTGCTGGAAGTTAAATCTGTAACTAAACTCTGGGATATACGTTAAAGCATAATTTAAGTGGCGAACAATGTAACTCTAATTCAACTAAATGTGCAAATTAGCTTTGAACAAGGCAACAACGCTAAGCTGCCTGATTTCTTTCGTGGAATATTATGAGTAAAGATTAGCCAGTTAGCCAGTGGGCAACTGAAGACTGATGTCTGGCTACACAGGCAACTTCAACTAGCTTGAGTTGGATCCGTTCATGGTGCTGAGCAGAAAACGGATGGGTGTGTTGAACAGTTCAGTTTTTTTTTCTTTTTAACTGACTGGCAAGCAAACACCTGTGGGCACCAGCTCTCTGTGTAACCGTGCGGGCCCACCTCCTCACCCACCTGATTCAAAACGGCCGTTGCACAGCCGATGTCCACCGTTCACAGCCGCTGGATAAGATCCTGCCTCCGGCCAGTGTCCAGCTGGCTAGGAGCTCTCTCCTCCTGCAAAGTCGGGGAAAATGTGACCCGGTCGAAAACGAATAATCCCAGTGTTTGCCGAGAAAATATTACGTCTGAGAACCGTTTAACAACTAAAGACCGACTCTGGTGCTCTTCCTTTTTCCACCGCTGCGGCGGTAGCCTCGCTGCTTCCTGCTCTGGCTAGGCTAAACTTCACCGCTTTGCTAACTCCGCCCTTATGATGCATTCATGTGCACCTCGTAGATTTGAAGTGTTTTTGAAGTGTTGGCAAACTCAACTGCAACTATGCCTCACTGCAGCAATACTTTATATGCTCCTTTGTTATGGACAACAATTTAAAGCACCAACCTGGCAGTATCAACAATAATAGGCGTCCGCTGCATAATGACATTTACTACATTTACATACACATATGAAACTATATTAAAAAAGAAATTGGGTTGATACAGGAAACCACAATAGGCTATATAACACAATAACATCTGAAACCTATCTTTATATGTGGCTGGTGAGGACTCAGATTTCACTTCTTCTAAAGTGTATTAATGAGGTTGGTTACAAGAACACACCACTGTATGTGGTTTGTGGTAATTGTTGAAAATTTCCAATGGAGCCAATGAGTGGAAAAATCCCACTGATCAAGGCAGTGATTTTATCTGACTTCTCTTTTTAGTCAAAAAGTTTAAAAAATATCCAGAGGCACACACTCATTCAACGGAAAGTCTGTACAATTTTTAATCGTTTGTTTTCTGTATCAGAATTTTTAAAATTCAGTTATTGAAATCAAGATACCAAAATAAAAACATTTCAAATCTCATTTATTCTCAAAAATCCAAAATGCGGTGTACCTTCATTGTTAGAATTTTGAACAGATCAGGCTAAGATAACCAGCGGAAATGAAGAATAAGACTATTCCAATATAACCTTTAAAAGAAAAGTGCAAAAGTAGAGCAACTTTATCTGAAGGCAACAATATTTTAAAGCCATTACATATTCATGACTCACCCCACAGGTGTTTTCACTTAATTGGATTGAAATCTACCAACCTTTGTTTTTACCTGTAAGGGTGGGACAACTTACACCATTATTCCTTTATTATATGTATTAGTATATTGAGTTTGGCAAAATCACATACTTTGTGTAAGTCAAATGGAAATAATATGAAATTGTTCCAGTATTTTAACAATTACAGCAAAGTCATAATTTTATTTAACAGTTGCTACAAGTAGCAGTAGTAGTATCTAGAAGATAAAACATTGCATAATTGAGACAAAAATCTAGTAATGTTCCAGGAAGCATTGTTTTATTGTGAAGGCACTTCTTCCACATTAACAGAATGCTCTAGTCTGCATTACAGCACATCATTTCGATCATGAGAACTGAAAAAAAGGGGAAAAATCAAGTGGTAAAGCCTGTAAAAAGCGATGAATCTGTTGTCCTCATACAGAGATGTGTTGACCAAGGTCAGGACAGACTGAGAAACCGAGCTCCCTCTGAAGGAGTCGTGACATAGAAAGTTGGGGTTCCACTGTATCGCTCCTGAAGAGGAAGAGAAAACAAACACATTCACAGACAATGAGTGTGTGAACTCCTGCAACTGAAGAATAAATGAAAAGCACACGGTCCATGCATCATAGGTTCAGAACAATTCATGCTCATCACATCCCCCACAGTTCTGGAAAGGAAGTTCAGAGAGAGAGCAAGAGGAAAGCACCGCTGGCTTTGTTTTCACAACTAGACACCTTTCCTCCTCAGCTGCGACGTATCTTTTCCTCCTCCAAATTTCCTCTAGCCTACTACTGCTTCCTCCAGACTAAAATTACACACTCCATTACTCATCTGATTCTCCCTGCAAGTCATTTAAAGGCCAAACGAATATAGAACTCCCACGAGAAGACACAGGCAGTTTCATTAGTCATTTAATACTGTGAATAAGCTTATCTTCATGTGAAAATAAGAACTAAATGCAAGACAAAATGTAACTTTGACATATATCCAATGTTTTAGGTCTAAGGCTGAATTCATAGCTCTAATTGTCCTTATTTATACTGAATTATATTGTTTGTCCTCCCTCTGTAACTCTACCTTATTTCTGTCCTGCTTTTGACTATTATTGCTTTTGATTAATTTGTCAATGCACTTTGTAAACTCTGTTTTTAAAAGGTAATATATAAATAAAGTTATTATTATTATTATTATTATTATTATTATTATTACTGAGCCTATGCATGTAGCCACTATGCCTATTACTGCACCTCATCAAAAATGAAACTACATGTTGTGGCTTGAGAGACACCAGTTTTGGGTATAAGCTTATTGGTTTCTGGTTTAGTGAGATGAGATCAGTTCCTTCATGTCTGTGCATTAACTGGAGCTTGAACCAGAAGCTGATTAACTAAAAGAGCGGAAACGGGGGAAAAACAGCTAGCCTGGCTCTACAAAGCTCAACTGACTGATGTGGCTGCTCATCAATGTCACGGCGATGACGAGAGTCCAGGAAGTCCAGGAAGTCTGGAGAGAAATAAGGCTTTTTTCAACTGGAGTTCATGTCCAAACTTGTGTTCTTGTGGACTTGTGAAACATCACAGCTCAAGTACTGTTCCAATTCAAAGTCCGCATCAAGCTAAGTACAGTCCGAATGTAAGCAAGTGTTCTCGCCCCACCTGAGAGCTGACCTCTGTGGGCCTGGGGTAGCCAAGTAGAAGAATTTTCATTCTCCGGTTGCTATTATGTTTTCAGAGCTTTCAGAGGCATTCAGGAGCCATCAGTCGCATGGGAACAACCTGTCATCTGGCAGCTAGCAGTCTGGCTTCTCAAATGACCGGCCAGTCAATGTCCATCATCATCCTGGGGAGAACAGTCTTGTCTCTGTACACCCGTTGGTGATTTACTGCTGGCTCTGATGTCTCTGTAGAGTCTGGATATTTGATGTAACTTCTTTTGGAAGATAAAATTTGAAATGCAATATTTGTTGCTGTCACATCAGGTCCATGTTTTTTTTGTTGTTCATAATGAAGCTGTGTCACATAAAATTCTGCTTTTGCTGCACAACATGACATCATCAGTCAAGGCGCTGCGTTTGGCAGTTATATACTGTACATGCAAACACGCCTGCAAACAGGTCCTCCAATGGACTCGATCGAACTGTCTCACCAGTACATGAAACAGCACATGGCCACCAACTCAGTGCCCTGCATTGTTTTAATGTCTATATGAATACAGCCTTAGTCTTTCCTGCACACACACACGTTGGCAGTGGTAACATAACATGAAATGTAGCAATGCACAAATAAAGGCAAAAATTGGCTTAGTAAATTTTTTATGAGGTAGGAAATGCACTAAATGCCTTTGTTAGGCCTCAAGGATAAACACAATGCATTTTGGTGAGCATCCATTAAGACTGTGCTTATGTGCTCTCAGACATGATTGACAGGGAACAGAAATCTACATAGATCATAATGTAATAAATGAAGAAAGTTTATTGGGGCATCTACAAAGTTGTATGGAGAGTGGAATCAAGCCCAACCCCAGAGCTGCCACATGTAAATATTCCTTATGTCATTGTAAACAGAGTCAACATGGAACATTTCCACAACATTTCCACATTGAAAGCCCCAAAGCTGTCACTTTAACCGCTAAATGAAGCTAACAATGGTTCAGATTCCAAGTCTGAAAAAAGCTAAGTTACATCTAAATGTTACATGTAAATACTGACAATATGACGTGTAAGCATGTGGAAAAACTTTTTATTATTATTATTTGTATTATTATATAAAATATTCTATTTAACAGAACTTTTTATTTATTATTTTGGTAAATTCTTTAATATAAAATTCAATTACCACCTAGTCACAATGCATATCCTTTTGATTTCTACATAAATTTAGTTCAACTAATAATAGATTTGTTTAAACTGATTAAGTTCTAAGGGTAAGTGGTTCAGATGTGACTAAAAAGAACCGTCCAAAGTTCATCAACTTGGCATGTTCTTGTGTTTTTTGTTAGTTTAATTCTCCACCCAGAGCTCAGCCCTTGACGAGTCGCAGTGAGGTGCAGTTAAGAATTTCCGCTGGGTCCGGAGTCACCAGATCAACCCTGAACCCTTCGGCCAGAGACACCTTCAGCAGCTCCTCCACAAAACCCTGCATGTCTGTGATTTCACAGAGGCTCTGGTGCATGTTCATGAGTTCATCTGACCGCGTGACCTCTGGGTTACACACAGTTAGTTCCTGGTAGCGTTGTTTGTCATATTGGTCCTGCGGGAGTTCATCGGGCCGCGGGACCCACTCCAGTTTCAGCCTGTTCTGCCTCGGGTTGCATGGGTGGGGGCTGGTAAGACCCTGGGATGTTCTGTAGGAGAAGCAATCGCAAAGCAGACCGAGGAAAGCTCTCCAGGTGCAAAAGAGGTTGACTGTAAAGGCTTGCACGGAACATGTACGAAGCTCATAGTTTTCTGGCCCATGGCGCAAGTTAAAGTGGAGAATGCGGACCTGGAATGAGAGGGGAGAATATGCTGACATGACATTCTCCAAAGTGAACACAAATAAAGAACTGGTCTTTCCACGTCCAGATGCGCACACACACACACACACACACACACACACACACACACACACAACCTCCGCTCATGATGTATATACAGTAAACATCAGATCAGAAGGTTTGTGAAGGCCAGTATCTTTAGAATTTCACAAAATCTCTCCATTGAAACCAAAGTGAAAATATTCATGTGCCACATGGCTGGATTAACCTGTCCCTGAGTAAACATGTTCTGTTGGATCAAGCTCCACTTTATTAGATGAATGTGTACCATGTGTATCCCTCTCCACAAGACAGATGCTACCTGCAGACTTTTCCCCAGTTGAGGGTCATTTTAACTGGCTGCAAAGAAAGTTCAGGTTCAAAGGTCTTTAGTTTCACATGCCTTGCAGAGGTGAATGTGTATTGGCTACAAAAACACAGGTGACTTACACACAGTACAGATCCTGGGTAAACACTGATGGAGAAGTGAAGCTGCTGCTGCTGGTGCTCTGGTTGTATGTTACTGTCATTATACAGCCTGTATAGACATGGTGTAAAACTGTTTTTACAAATAGGCTACATGGCTTGGATTTAGGCTTGGACCAATATTTGATAATATCAAGTATTACGTTATTTCTCGCCATATGCAATATCTGTCATAATATTGGATTTTTTTTCAATTCAGTTTAATGTAGTGTATGTATTATATTAATGTATTACATTTTTTTGTCACCCCTGGCAATAATATCGTATATCATGATATTTCCTGCCATATGCAATATTTGTAATAAGGTAAATGTATCAAACAAGGCAACTGAAACATGAAAAATAGAACATACAGTATATAATTATATTATAACCCTCCCCCACCCCAACAATAACATTGTATATCGTGATATTTCCCACCATATGTAATAATTTTCATAATATAAAAACATATTTATTTTATTGTTACTGTTGTTAAGTATTTAATATACGCATTATGTAAATGCAACCGCACCTCAATAAGGTAATATGATATAATTATATTATAACACCCCTCCCCCACCCCACCACAATAATATAGTATATAGCAATATTTGGTCTGGACTGTATCAAGATATTAAACTTTGGATATCGTCCAAACCTACTTGTGCAAATTATCTAAACAAACTACATGTTCAGTGTAATTTGATGCACATCTTAATAATAAATTTTAAGGAAATTTAATTAAAAAAACATTATAGATAAAATTACCAAATAAATCTCTCCTCGTTATCACTTTACAAGGAAAAAGTCTCTCCACAGGAATTATACTTCCTCGAGATGTCATATTAATTCATTAATTAATTAATACAATGAAATGAAAAGTTGTCCAAGGTGGACTGTCACTGTAATTAAAATTAAAAAGTGACTTGATTTGTTGTCAGACTGACTTCAGTACATACATACCTTGGACTCAACGTTAACAATAATCATGGCTCCGAGAGGTCCTCCTCTGAGGCTGCGAGGAACTGACGCCTCATATCGGTGAATCTCCTCCAGCAGGGGGTGTATCTGGAAGAAGTCAGCCTCTCTCTGCAGCAGTGCCAGCTCTGAAAAGCCGTCCGGCAGGTCCAGGGAGCTGGAGCGCAGGTAATTTAGAATGTACCTGAACACTTTACCGTCGCGGTCTATGAAAATGTTTCCTTTGCTATCCCTGAGCATAGGGATTTGTCCTGTGAACATGGCGCCAAGCATCGAGTCACGGCAGCGTGTCAGAGTGTCCAGGGTTGTGGTGTAAATTTCTCCACCAACATTTAATGACACCGGGTCCTGGAGAGAGTTCCTGTTGCTGTTGTTGTCCGGCGAGTTGAGGTTCAGCATCTTGGAGGTAAAGCTGTGAGTTTTATGATCTTGTTAAGCTGATGTTGTCGTCGGGAGGACAAGGATCCCTCTGCTCTGGTCAGGAATGCTGTAGACTGAGGGATGTGGAAGTTTTAAGTGTTTCTTTTAACTCCAAGAAAGACTTGTTTTCTTTGACAGTCAGCAAGGCGCAGTAGTAGCCAGGATACGGCCGAGTAAGAAGAGATGCCAAGTCAGTTTCCAAAGCTAAAGATTTATAAAACCAGAGTTTCAAACCTATAAAAGGCTGCTGCTCTTTTCCTTCTCACTGTTGCTTCAAAGCAAACGCGTCATCCTTTCAGTTTTAGATGCAGGTGTTTCCCGAGATCTTGTGTGGTTAAATTTACATCTTTGTTGATGTATCTCCTGAATGGTGTCAGCCAACAGCAGCAGGCCTAAAGCAGAAAGGCAGCAGGGCCACAGTGACCAGACCAGCATGCTAATGACGGGACACTTCTGGCTCCGTCTCTACGAAGCCTGCTTTTATTCTCAGTTCTTACCCCCTGATCTCTCACTCACAGACACACACACACACACACACTGACACACACACACACACACTGGAGCTGTCTGAGCAAGACACGGGGGACTGGGCAATTTGTCTGAAATGCCCCCGTTAAAGTGACAGCCAGAGCACTGAAAAGTGCTTTTTATCCCCTGTGAACAAATGAACAATGTCCTCAGACACATTTCATTTCAAATACCCTTTGGAATGAAAAGGGTTTTTTTTTTTCAGAAAACAGAATCAGAAAAAATGAAAAAACTGATGTGCACCTGTTATTTTACACTGCAGCCAAGTTTTTCAGTAGTCCAATAGTACTACCACCGCTACTACGACTATTACTACAAATATCTTTTAAAGTTAATGATAGTAGAGAGTGAGATTGAGAGAAAGGCTTGTAATGTGTATGTGTAAATGCTATATCCACACAAAACTGCACTTAAATTTAGAAACCTAAAACACCTGGATCAGATATGGGTGAGCATAGATGGAGGATCTAAAACTCTTGATATCTGGAATGGAGAACATCTCAGTGCAGATATCAAGTTCACCAAGGTCAGCTACATGTCTACATGTATATTCTGTACGGTTTAATCTCAAGCAAGTCTCGTTAATCTCAAATAAACCCAGTGTTAATGTAAAAATACTGATTAGAGCAGTTTTATATTTCTAGAATAACCAACACATTTTCACACTGTCACTTTTGTATATGTAAGGGACTGTTTACCTCAGCTACATGCACAATGCTACATCTTAAAAAGCCTAAGGCTGGGAACACACTGGATGTGTGGAGTATGCGTGGCTGCAGAACGTCTTGGTTTTCATTTCAGCAGCCATGCTAACATGTTAAAGCATCTCACGCCTCGCAGCTGTGTGGTGTGATCTAGACCCTACTCTGGTTCTCAAAGTAGGGTCCGAGGACCCCCAGGGGTCCTTGAGGGGGTTCCTGGGGGTCACCAGCAAAAAGGGGAATAATTGATTTGCACTATATTTCCATCCATAAGTAACACAATGACAGAATGTGTGACTATTATGACTATTAGACATTAGACAATGGCCTTTTAGTGATGTTTTCAGTCAAAAATAAATCAGAAATGCATTTATAATGAAAAGAAAATCCAACATTCAAGTAACCTGGAAACTCTGAGTAGAAAGAGCTGGCATTGGCAGTGATGCAGCCACCACACACGCAACGCAGGCCCTGTGTTCCTTGGATAAGTCCTTATGATAATTCTATTTTCTCTGTGACTGAATAGCTCAGTGTTCCTTCACAAACTATAACAAAGTTGTGAAGCATGAGGACATGGATCAGTTTCTCTACTGAGCAGACACAGATGAAGCTGATACTGATCTTCTCATCAGACTCAAGCTATTTGCCAAAATGTGGGATGTTTCTTTCATAACAACTGACCAGCTTTTTGTAAATTGATGATAATCCTGTGAATATACAAACAGGACATGTGATCTTTGTATGTGTGTGTGTATATGTGTGTGTGTGTGTGTGTGTGTGTGTGTGTGTGTGTGTGTAAACCTTTATGTGGAGTATGGTTCTGTCAATGACATCGGCCTGCATCAAAGTCACAGTGCATCCACCGAATCCTCCGCCTGTCATCCGGCTGCCGAACACCCCCTCCACCTCCATGGCTGCAGACACCAGCTCATCCAGCTCGCTGCAGCTCACCTCATACAGATCTCTGCCACAGGGACATCAAGTTAGTTACTGCACAGCTCCCACACTCCGGCCTAAACCCTGACTCAGGGGGGACACAGCTGCTGAAATCGTACCTGAGAGAGTTGTGGCTCTCCACCATCAGCTTGCCGAACTCTCTGTAGGCTCCTCTCTTCAGGCTTTCAGCAGCTTGAGCAGTTCTTTCTATCTCCTCAATCACATGACGAGCTCGTTGATAGGTAACATCATCCAGTCTGTCCTTTGCCTCTGGAATTATAGAGAAGGAGAAAATAAAGTCAGCTTTATCACAGGAACTGAGCAGGATGGTGTGTTCAAATCTTGGCTCTTTTTCCTACAACCTATAGATCTTCTCTGCACATTTGCCACACAGTAGTAACTGCCACACACATGGGGATGACAGACTGACAAGCACAAAAGAACTGTAAACTATGACAAGATGCAACACAGTCCTGTCTGTTCTTTTACTTTCTTTTTCAGGCTATCTTTGGTTGAGTGGCGGAGGCCTGTAGCAGCAAGTGTTGGCATGACAGCAGAAGAAGAAAAAGCAGGTAACAGGATGTCAGGGTCTATTACAAAAATCTGTTTCCACTGTCCTTTGTTGTATTTAATCTGTGCCAACTTTTCCACCTCAGCCAAGCGTGATTTTTTAAATTTTATTTATTTATTTGTTTGTTTGTTTATTTCCTAGGGACAATGCATGTTAAAGAACATCAGTCGAAATACACAATGTAATGTAAACATACTGGATTGTACAAAAATGCTAATTTACATCCGTAGTCCCTCGGCAGGTAACATAACACAAAAAACATTACAAGTCACAATACACTACTACAAATATCACGTACACGAATACATTTTGCTGCGTACGAAGTGAAAGATGATCACAGATCTGGTTTGACTTGAGCCAATGTTTGACATGTGTCTTAAAGGTGGGATATGAAGAACACTGCCTTATTACAAGTGGTTAGCCATTCCCATATTTACTTCCCTTTACTGTTAACACAGTTTGTCCAAATGTGGTGCACCTATGAGGCACCTCACAGGCCCCTCTAGTGGTCGCCATAGTACCAATGTCACTGTTAGCCCTCTAATTAATTAATTAATTTAAAAGGTGGTGGGGCCCAAGCAAAACCTTATAAATAAAACAAGCATATTTAAAATTTTATAAATTCTCAAAATTTAATAGATTATATTTTTCCAGTATATTGCAATGATGAAATGAAGTTTTTTTTTTATCTTATTTTATTTTTATTTCATTTAAAACTTTTATGGTTTTCTTGAAAAGTGATTCTATTGATTTAAGTGTTGTTCCTTCTGTAAATGACCAGCTGGTAAAACAATACTCAATGTGTGAAAAAATCATTTGAGTTTAAAAATATTCCGGCAGAATTAACTGAGATTTGCCTGATTTGCTTTAAATATTGTAAATAAATTTTATGGTGTTTGACACCTTTACTGCATGACTTTAAAAAGGACTATATAGAGTCCAATGTAACCACCAATTACTTTTATTTTATGCACCAACTTTACAAAAAACAGAGGATGGAAATGTACCTGCTGGCTTTGTATTTTTGGTATTGGTATAGTCCTTTTTGTCTGTACAGTACGAACATGTATCTTGTCTTACCCATGCCAACTCAGATCCTACAGACTCCATAGACCATGAGGCTAAACAGTCTCAACAAACATAAAACGTTTCTCAGGAGGTGTTGGCAGATGTGTTGGAACTTTTGACAAAGCCGCAGACATGAGATTGGTATTAATTTTCTCATCTGACTCTTGGAAAAGCAAATATGCCTATTTTCCAAAAATACTGAACTATTCCTTCAAGGGAAAGGACAGAACTCTGGAACGGAAGGAGCAGTAGGAGACCACAAGAAGACAAGGGCAGTAAAATATAGGAAAAGAGAGAATTACATCAGTGGAATGGAAGAGGACAGGATGAGGACAGGGTGGAGCAGGAATCAGGACAGCAACCTGGCCCAGGACAGAAAAGGACAGTTGGTAATAAAATAAGACAGAGCGGAACAGAATGGGTAAGCACGGGATAACACAAAAATATACTTCACACCCTCCAGGTCCTTCGTGGTAGCATCTCGGAGACTGGCCTTTCCCAGGATGCCGGCAGCCTTCTCACACTGTCTGCGTCTTGTGGGGTACTCACTGCCAGTCAGAGAGTGCTTCACATTGGAGTTGGTGATGAGAATGACCAGGCTTGGATCTGCCAGGGGGATGGCGGTGGCTTCGAGGGACCTAGGTACAACAACAAAGAAGTGCAAGACTGATAATGCAGAGTTTTCTCTGATGTTCTGCCAAAACTTGACAATGGTAACACTAGAAGAGACCAAAGACTCCTGGATTAATTCACTCTCATTGGATGTTTACAATACCTGCAGTCAATCAGCAAAGCATGTCCCTCCTTGCCAAGCACGGACACAAACTGATCCATGATGCCACAGGGTACACCGGCATGAGTGTGTTCTGCCTGCTGACAGGCGAGTGCTTTGGACACCTTGTCGCCATCATCTGTGAAAACAGGACATAGAACATCACCAAAATCAAAGCCAACATGTAACGTGCAGTGTAGGCTTGGGCGATAACCAAAAATTAATATCTCAATACAACCCAACCCGAGTATCGCAATATACCATATCATCTCTGCTTATAATATAATCATATTGTTGTATTTCATGTTTCAGTTGTTTTTTAAAATAACATATAATTGATAAAAACAGCTGTTGTTCACATACTACACAACATATAAAAAAAACTTTTTATATCAATATAGGCCCAAGTGTCATTTGAAAAACCCTCTTAGGTGAAATACTGGCAAAGTTACAGTACATCAACGAAAAGTCAGATGAATGAACACAATCAGTTTAGTGCCTGAAACACAACATTAAATTTAAATAGCTGTTGCCTTCTGGAAGTTTCTCCCATCTCCACAGGATCTCTGGAGCTCAGCCAGAGTGACCATCGGGGTCTTGGTCATTTCTCCCCCAATTACTCAGTTTGCTGATGTGTTGATATGTCTTTCTTTGATAATCCCTATCTCTAATTTAATGAGGATTCCCTCCTGACTGCAGTAACTGAATATAAGAACCACACTGGTGTGACTTAAGTCCATGTAAACAGACTCTGACCTGGCTTGAGTTGCTGCAGGAATGTGTAGAAAGCCACCTCCAGAGAGGCGGAGCTGGACAGACCTCCTCCCAGGGGGACACTGCTGGCTATGACCGCCCTGAAA